ATATTATTTAATTAGTTAATTAATTGATTAAGTTTAATATTTTTTTAAGCGCATAAAAGAAAAAAAGAATTTGATATTTTATTTTAAACAACAATTGGAACTCAATAATTCAAGCGTGTAAATATTACTTTATCCAAACGAATGAGAGACGTAATATCACGATAAAGAAATATAATAACACTAAAATTCATAATTCAACGACATGGAATGACAATAAAACATAATAAAATTAATAAAACAATAAATATATTAGAAATAATAACCTTCACGGACATGAAAGAACAATGAAATTCATAATATAACTATATTAGAAATAATATTGATATTACTAATGAAAATATTTACATGTTCATCATGAAACAGTATATGGAATGCGTTCCAGCTCTCCCGTTCGTGATGCGTTTCAATTATTCGGACTGCTTTCAATCGCAAATAAGGTTTGTTTCTCCTACTCACGGAATCGAGTGTATCCTAGACCGGCGACATTATATTATCGATGTATTCTAAAATTTATCTATATAATTTTTTTTTCTCTGAACGTTGTGAATGAAGTGAAAAAATAATCGTGGTAGTGAATATCCTTTTATACAAATTGTTGTTTAGCACGTTGGTACCGAAAAGAGTGATTGATGAAAATTATTTAAATGGAAAGATATTGTTAAGATTTTATCATATAAATGATTTATATGGAGCCTTGAAAGAGGAGATTTATATGAAGAAAAGAGGAGATTTATTCCATAGTATCTGCAATTAATGCTTGTTGTTTTGTTAATAGAGCCACAAAAAATCAGAAATCTTGGAGTGAAAAAATGATTTATTCCATAAACAATTAATGTTAATCCGAAATAAATAAGAGCAATTTTAGGAAATTATGTGCAATTAATGCTCGTTGTTTTGTTATTGGAGCCACAAAATGATTTGTTCCATAAATAAAAATCGAAAATAATGGCGTAAATGATTTATTCCATAAAAAAATTTATTCCATAAAAAAATAAATGTTAATCAAAAATAATTAAGAGCAATTTTAGGAAATTATGTTAATTTACTATTTTTAGGCTATAATTAATAAATTTGGTGGGAAATAGTTTCTAAAATTGAATTAAGTTAATCCTTATTATATATTAATAGATACTATAAAATAAAATTTGTAGAATTACAATTTAACCCACAAAGATCAAAAGTATTCAAAACCTTGCGACGCCCCCTTATTTATTAGGGCTACTCTCCGAGTATTTGCCAGTCGACCCTCCTAAATTTCTACCCTCGACCTCCTGCCTTTCCCTCTTCCAAACCCTAAGCAAAACCTAATGGCAACTCCATCTGGGCTTCTCCGCAGCACTAGGGCGCTCTTCGCCGCCGCCAAATCCGCCACCCCGGTCGCCAACATATCTCCTTCCGCCACCAAAGTGGCCTCCTCCTCCGCCGCTTCGAAGACGCCGAAGATTCCGAAGGAAAGGAAGCCGCCTTCCAACTCAGGGGTCACGAGGACGACGCCTATCTCTGTCACGCTCCAGAGCCTTGTTGGCGCACCGGAGGCTTCTCGGGCCCAGGTTGTTAAGAAAGTCTGGGAACACATCAAGCTCCACAATCTTCAGGTATTGTTACCCGAACATTTGTTTCTGAGCTTTTTGTTAGGGACTGCTTAGTCTGAGAGTATCATGTGTGAGTTTGTGTTTATGTGTGTGAAGATGTTATTAGGGTTGTCTTCGCTTCGGTATATCTGATTGGGTGGGGTTTTCCACTGTTTCGTTTATTGAGCTTTCAACATATAGTTTCTGCTCGGACTGTTTCATCTTTAAATTTGAGGATTTCTGTATAAAATGATTTGTTTAATCTGAAGTTACAATGATGTATTGACACATAAACTGTCTGTGTACAAAGAAAATTTCGGGTGCAATCTACCTGTTAATAGACCATCTCCGGCCCTATACTCTATAGAAGAATTTACTCTAGATTAAGCCCAAATTTGAGTTTTGTTTTCAATTGTTTGTGCTAAATTTTACTCTACATGAAATATTTTCTTTTTACTCTTTTTCTTTGATTTTAATTTTCATATTGAGATAACTAAATTCCTTGTTTTCTGATTTATGAAAAGATAAATATATAGAACAATACCTCTTCATAAGTTCATCTTTGATTTTAATTTTCATATTGAGATAACTAAATTCCTTGTTTTCTGATTTATGAAAATATAAATATATAGAACAATACCTCTTCATAAGTTCATAAACTAGGAATATAAATCATAAAATGATGATTTAGTTATGTTATTGTGTTTTGGCTTATGTATTTTGTTGTTGGGGTATGTTATATGCTCTAATTTTAATTGAGTAAACTTATTACTTTTGTGGCAAATTTTTATTTACTATTGTAGTAACTTAAAATGTATATATTTTATGATTTTTCTCATGTGGACATTTTTCTATGCACTTGATATGATTTTTCTCCTGTGGACATTTTGCTTATTTGCTATTGTTTTATGTTTGACAATGTAGTGGGTTCCTGATTATTTATTGCGCTTCGCGTTGACCAGATTTGACATTGTTCTGTCCTTATGACATTTTGTTTGTTATTTTGTTATCCTTGTTTTGGAAAGCTTACGATAAAGAATGTGCATATGATGTTTGAAAAATTAGGTATTTCCTTTTGTTGAAACAAGGAAATAATTTGAGTGTTTTAAAATATTTCTGAAGAATAATTTGACAGGATTATGACAATTAGTAAAATTTTCGTTATCCGAGCACTGGCCACTTGCATAACATAGTGGTTACCAGAAAATAAAAGTAGGTGACATGTCGCCTGACATGGAATATTGGATATTTCTGAAGAAATGTATTCTCTATGTTGAGGGGGACTGTAATCGTACTTTAATCCTTTTGCTTCTCTTGCATCACTATGACTAAGCAATCAGTTGTGATTCGCTTCTTGGATGTTATTAGAATCCATTTCAGGTATGGTCGTTTTTTGCTCCCTGTATTTTACTTTGCCTCTGCATTTTACTTTTTTTTTTCTGCCTAGTTTATTGTATTTAATTAGTTGGATGATGTCTTTTTTACTAAGTTGCTCCTTGGCCATGCCTTATTGTATTGTCCAGTTTATCCCGTATATGCTTGTCACCTTTCACATCAGTTGAGGCGAGCAGATATTCATGTGCATTATCAGAATATACTTTTACCTCATCCTGTTGTTTAATGGATTGAAGTAAGCGTGGATGGTGTTTTTTCTTTTTGCTTGCAGAACCCATCAAATAAGAAGGAGATACTCTGCGATGCTAAGCTGAAGAAACTGTTTGATGGGAAGGATAAAGTGGGGTTTCTAGAGATTGGAAAGCTGCTTACCCCCCACTTTATCAAGTCTGGTTAACTGCTGATTGTGTGGCCATCTTTTCTCCTGTGGGTTAACGTCCTTTGTCCAATGAAACCTTTGAACTCTCTTTAATGTGGTTGTCGTGTTGCGAACAAGTTTTTTAAGTTTCCTATGTTTTTGGTGAATTGGCTACTTATCTTCGTAGGTTGACTTTGTTCAGTGAATGTTTAGGAAGTGTTTCGCCAGCTTGTGCCTTTTGCGTTCCAGTATGGATCTTTTTCTTGTCGTTTGAAAATATTTAGGATGATGGCTTGTTTATGGTATTTGCTTTTTGTTCACATGCTCCATCTCTTTCAATATATATGTATCTCTCTCTCTCTCTCTCATGTAGTTGAAAGCATTCATTGAGTGCAATCAAACTGTGATCTGAATCTTGATGGGATGTCTAAAAAGTTAAAGTACACATGTTTAAGCGTATTGGGAAAATGTGTACTGCATTAGTGTAGTTTAATTATCCGGATAATTTCTCAGTACTATTTACTTGACCATCATTGTAGTCCTCGCCTCGATGTTGGCCTCATTTACAAGAGCATAGCATTTTTAAGTATTTGCATTTTGCATGATAAAGATGGCGATCGGGTGACCAAAGGGTAATAGAATATGATCATCCTTTTCAATTAAACCGATAAAATACATTTTTGTTTCTTAATGTCATGCCTTACTCATACCACATGGTAACTGAATGCGACCCTTTTCAATTAAACTGATAAAATACATTCTTGCCTCTTAATGTCGTTCCTTATTCAGATCTACATGGAATAAACAATTGTTTCAGCAACGAATGCCGTAGGAAGAAAAATCTGAGTGTAGAAATATTTTTGGTTTCAGTGGGAAAGAATGTGAATTTACAAAATCCCTTGAAAAGGAGAAAAGTAGTGTAGTCAATAAAAATCAGATCACATTTTTACTAGACACCGAGTAAGCTCTGGGAATGTACATTCTTAGGTGAAGAGATGATGTATCCATTGTTCAACAATTGCAGGCGACCCATACCACGGTCTCATCTCATCATCTGAACCCACGGGTGAGTGGTACACTCCATCCACACTCATATTCAATGCACCTTCAAGATGTGCCGACATCTCAGGCACCACCCCATCACCCCAAACGTCTGCTTGCCCACATACCTTATACACATTCCACCAAAATATTCACAAACAATGAAATGCCTTGTGAAGTATATCAACTCAAGTCTCAAGACATGAGAAATATAGAACCTGTTTGTATCCTTGACCAACAAATCGAGCACGCAAGGTGGCTGATGCTGGAGTGGATGTCTCAACAGTACCCATTTCACTGCCCTGTTGTTCAATTTGGACGACGGTTGATGAACTTTTTCTGTTGTTCGATCCCACTAATCGAGCCCCTTGAATGTACCTGTTGTATGCACTGAATCAGCTAGAAGCTATCTGACTCAAGGATCAACTTACCAGGATCTTTCAGTTTTTTTTTACCTCCCGGCAATGCAAACGTATCTGAGGTCACGGGTGTAGATGGCTTTAGGACAATGTTTCTCCACAAAATCCAAGAGGCCCCTAGTTTGGTCTATGACTCCTGATACGCCTTTAGGTGGTGCACTGGAAAAAACAGCAAAAGGAGCACCTATTTACAATATCAGATAACCACAAGTCCATAAAATTAATAAACCAAAGCATTTCTTAAATGAGTAATCACTAATCACACAATCAAGGGAGGTCCTTATATACATGTGAGGAGTTCCTAATGTCAGTAACAAGGAAACATCGGATATGCCAAATTCTTGCAAATAGACGCGGGCCAGCCATCCTCCTGCTGAGTGCCCAATCAAAGATAGAGTTGAGCCTGCAAAAAATCGACTCAATTATTAAGGGATATGCAAATGCTTCTAACATGAAAGCAAGTACATTGGTCAGCTGGAGCTCCATTGTCACCCTAACTCACTCTGGTTTTATGATTTTGAACAAGATCAAAATCTAAAACACAAATCAGTAGCTGGTAATAATATGATCCCTATTATAGTTATATGCTTTGGTATATTTTCAGATTGTATATTTTCATCTGGAAATTTATTGATATGGTAAAACGTCAAATTATGCAGGTTAGTTTTTTCCAAACTATTTGTATCATACCAGAGAACTCCACAACTTAATATTTGTTTTTTTCGAAAACCTACAACTTAATAAGAGAAAGCATTAGTTCAATTTTTCAATGTGGTCAACCCATACATATTTATACTTTCATATACACTCCATCCTTGGTTCTTTTCTATGATTCTTGCTGTACAGAAGTAAGATTTCCTAAATCTTTTGCAAGACTCGCAAGCTAGAAACTGATAATTATCAACGCTTCATAGAGGCTTTAAAAATTGAATCAAATCCCGTGTTATATTAAATATACAAAAGAGATGCATAAAAGAGAGGATAGCCAAAGAAATGAGAACAAAACCTTGGGCCAATTCCTTTGCCTCCATCACAGCTTCTCCAACCCTTTCAAGATACCTAGCGTGGCAGACAATCCAAAAGAGATGGATCATATGGCCAGATAACAAGGGGTGAAAAGTAGCAATTAATTACACATAGCCCTTTAATCCCTCTCGATAATCTTGATTTTTTCCCTTTGATTCTCTACTCTTTCTCAAAATCTCATTTCAAAGTCTAATCATTGCAGTTTAAATACCCCACTTTACCTTCCATGACTACTCTTAGAACAGAAATTCATTCCCCTTAAACTATCTTTATATTAGAATCACTTCAATATGCTATAAAATAACAAACTAATATGTAACAGTATAATCTCCTTAACAGATGAACCCAAAATCATGAGAAATTTGAGAATGGGAGTCAGCAGCAATGAGGTCAAGACGATTTACCAATCAAGAACAGGTCGAGGCCGGAGAGTGCCTCGCCAATAATTCGAGTCCAGCAAGCCAGCAGCATTTCTCAACCAATCAATCCTGGAAACCCTAGCAACCACACATGGCACTCCATAATCCCTCAAGATTAAGGCTAATTTATCGTAATCATTCGTATTATTCCCCAATCCCTACACAGAAAATTACAATTCCCACTTCTCACTGCAATTTCTCGTTATCATTAGTAAAAACCCACTGGCGTTAGCAATGAGGTCAAATTAATACGTAACAAGGACGAACGAGGGGAGAGAATATGAATTACTGGAAGAATGACGGCGGGACGGTAGGTGGTGGGCGCTGAAGAGACTGAATCGCTCCGTGAGAGTCTTGAACAGAAACGACAGCGGCGGCGAAGGCTTGATGTTGCCGAGCGTTTGAGTGGAGATGGTGGTGGAGGAAGTGGCGGCAGAGCAAAGGCCAAGGCACCCATCTTCTTCACCGCCCCAAAGGCAACGCCTTGGTGTCAGTGAGACGTTTGCGGTGGTTAATAACAACCGACTTGGGATGTATTTGCCGAGTAATATGTCCACGTCTTATATGATATATTTTTTTAAACATATTAACATCACCAATATATGCATGTCAGTAAGCATATTAACATGTGTCTACCATGAGTAGGGAGCTAGTGTTTTAAAGATATGCGTTGTTTTGATATTTACATTGTGTGGCTTAAATACGGTAGGCTATCCTCCCTATATATAATTCCCGAATGCGTTGAGCCTACGTGGCTGCTTCTGGTGCTTCGAAATTATATTTGGCAAAAAATCATGCTTCGTGATTAGGTTTAAATAAATAATATTGATATATTAATAATTAATAATCTAGGTTCGGGTATTCCATAAATATTACATTAGCTAACTTAGGTATTTTAATATCACTTTTACTAATACAGTCCTTTAATTCTTATAGTGTGACACTCAGTGACTAATATATCCCTGAATTTTGATTTGTTTCCTTCAATAAGCCATTGAATTATAAATGTATTTTAAAAGTTGATAATTTTTGTATTTCTTATCGGTTTTACATATATAATATATCAAATTAATCATTTTTTGATGATCTTCGATTTGACATCCATATTGTATATATGAAATAAAAATAAAATATAATTATGTGACCGGTGTAGACCGTCGGCCAACCGACCGTTGACCGGTGTTGACAGCCGGTTAGAGGCGAACAGGATTCCAGCTACCCCATTTTATGGCGATCCTTTTTTTTTTTTTTTTTTTTTGGCGACCCCATTTTTTGTGGAAAACTTAGCCAAAATTCAGGTTGGAGAAGAGGTGTTGCTTCCTTGCCTTTCTCGTCAGTACTGTCGTTGTTACCGCCGGAATTAGACATTGCTGCTCGGAGAAGAGGTGTTGCTGGCTAGAATTTAAGATGGTTGCTCGAAGATGAGGTCTGTTGGCCAGAACTTGACGTGAACACCAACAATTTCCCCCTCCTGCGGCCGCACCAAATCCCCCTGCAATTTCCCCCTCCGGCCAACAAAATCCGCCAAGAGGAAGCACCGACAATTATGTAACTAAACGAGGTCGTCGGTGGCAGCTTCCAGTCGTGGACGGAGGACGGCAATGCGGCAGCTTCCAGTCGTGGCTCCCAGTGCCATTAATGGCGAGCTTTTTCATTCCGTTCTTCCAGCCTTCTTCTCTGCCATGGCCGAACTGGCGCCTCGCCGTGGCCGAGCGGGCAGTGAAGAATTTTCAGATTTGGGGTTTGGACACCTTTTGAAAATTAGATGAATCTTATAGATCTAATTACAATTTCAAACACTTAATAATTATTGCAATTAGATCCTTGGGTTCAATCTATAATTTATTTTTAGTTTGAATAACTATAATATGACCTTTGAGTTTTTATATTATGTAATTAATGCACTGTGCATATTTAAATAATACACAATGCATATTTTTAGTTATAAATGATGTATACTTAATTGAGAATAAGAAATGCATATTTGGTTCATAATTCATATTTAGTTTATTCGTGATACATATTTAGTTCATAAGAAATGCACATTTATTTCATTCATAGTGCATATTTGTTGTATTTAAATTAAAATATACATGATGCATATTTAGTTCATTAATGATACATGTTTAGTTCCTACGAAATGCATATTTAGTTTATCCATAATGCATATTTGTTGTATTTAAATTAATATATACATGATGTATATTTAGTTCATTCTTGATGCATATTAGTTAATACGATATTCATATCTAGTTCATCCATAGTATATATTTGTTATACTTAAATTTAATATATAATGATGCATATTTAGTTCATTCATGATGAATATTTAGTTAATTTGTGATGCATATTCAGGTAATATGAAACGTTGTTTCTTTTATTTACATTAAATATATAATGATGTATATTTAAATTAATTCATGATGCATATTTAGTTCATGCAATAGGCATATTTAGTTCATCCATAGTGCATATTTGTTATATATATTAAATATATAATGATACATATTTAACTAATTTATGATGCATATTTAGTGAATTAACGATAAATATTTAGTTCATACAAAATGCATATTTAGTTCATCCATAATGTATGATTTGTTATATAAAAATTAAATGTATAATGATGCATAGTTAGTTAATTTAAGATGTATATTTAGTTAATTCATGATGCATATTTAGTTCATCCACAATGCATATTGTTTATATTTAAATTAAATATATAATGATGCATATTTAGTTCATTCATGATGCATAGTTCATTGATGATGTATATTTAGTTAATATGAAATGCATATTTGTTATATTTGAATTAAATATACAATATTGCATATTTAATTAATTCATGCTGCATAGTTAGTTAATACGGAATGCATATTTAGTTCCTCTATAGTGCACATTTGTTATATTTAAATTAAATATCTAATTATGCATATTTAGTTAATTTATGCATATTTTTTTTTTTAAATGCATATTTAGTCCATCCATGGTGCATATTTGTTAGATTTACGTTGGGTGAAGCTTTCTTGGTCAAAGATTGCTAGATTCGGGAGTAAGGATACTCATTCTGTCATTATATACCAATCATAGGTTATTACAAAAGCATAAGTTTAAGAAGGGTCGAAGTCTATCTCTGAGATTCATAGTTTCCATGGTTCATCCACTTTATATATATAGATAGGAGATTCATTAGAGGGTTTAGTACCATTATGGCTTCTGAATCTTTCAAGAAAGCGGAGTTTCAAACGAGGAGCTCAAAGGAAAAACCTTTTCTATCATAGAAGTTAGCTCAAAACCATATTTCTAGCTTGGTAATCTCTCGCTTACTTGACTTTTTTGACTGTAGTGGTTATGACTAGACTACTTTGCTTGGTTCTCCAAGTCCTTGATTCATTGGGTCAAAGTACTCTCAGAACCGAGCCTTTTTAGTTACACCTCTCCAATCCTTGTCTTTTAGCTGATGGTAATAGTATCAAAGATAGACATGTCACATAAATAAAGAAATTGAGTGAAATTAAATATATAATGATGCATATTTAGTTCATAGATGATGCATATTTAGTTAATAGGGAATACATATTTAGTTATCCATAGTGCATATTTATTATATTTAAATTAAATATTTACATGTGCATATTTAATTTGTTCATTATGCATATTTAGTTCATTGATGATGCATATTTAGTTCATCCATGTTGCATATTTATTATATTTAAGGTAAATATATGCATGTGCATTATGATGCATATTTAGTTCATTGATGATGCATATTTATTTCATCCATATTGCATATTTGTTAAGTTTAAATTAAACATATACATGTGCATATTTAGTTCATAGATGATTCATATTTAATTAATACTAAATATGAATCCACAATGCATATTTTTTATATTTAATATAAATATATATATATAATGCATATTTAGTTCATAGATGATTCATATTTAATTAATACTAAATATGAATCCACAATGCATATTTCTTATATTTAATATAAATATATATATAATGCATATTTAGTTCATTGTAATGCATGTTTAGTTCATTGATAATGCATATTTAGGTAATACGAAATGCATATTCAGTTCATCCATAATGCATATCTATTATAATTAATATAAATATATATACATGATGCATATTTAGTTCATACGAAATGCATATTGGTCACAGTTAAATTAAATATATAATGATGTATATTTAGTTCGTTCATGATAAACATTTAAGTCTTTGATGATGCATATTTAGTTAATATGAGATGCATATTTAGTTTATCCATAGTGCGTATATATTATATTTAAATCAAATATATACATGTGCATATTTGTTCATTCATAATGCATATTTAGTTCATACGAGAATCATATGTAGTTCATTCATAGTACATATATGTTATATGTAAATTAATTATATACATGAAGTTCATAAATTGTGCATACTTGATATTGTTGGTGCATATTTAGTTCATAAGGATTACATATTCAATTCATACCAAAAGCAAATTTAGTTCATATCAAGTCATACTACTTGGTGCATGTGTACTTAATACATAATGCATACTATGCTAAAATAAAGTCAATATAATAAGTCAACGGTCAACGCCGTAAGTCAACGATCAATAGTCAAATGGTCGAAATGATATTAAATAATTAAAGTAAAAAAATAAAGAATCATTATTTAAATAAAAAATGTTTAACTACATATCTTGATACGTAACTAGTGGCTAGGAACGAGTCTCACATACTTATTTTAAGAATGTCTCATTTGAACCAATCCATATGAGAGAGTGTGTATGTGTGTGTGTGTGTGGTTGAAAATTTTAAGGTACTCTATTGTGTAGTTCAAATTGGTGTTCCCATTTTAAAAGGCAAATATGTAATTATCTGTAACTTACGGGTCAATATTAACTTGGACGTAAATGGAATAGTCAATTATTTATAATTTAATAACTCAACTACTTAAGTTTTTTTTTTATTTGAATAGTTTATACAAAAATAAATTCATTTTAACTAATAAAACAATATAAGTTTTATAGTTATACTTATATTCACATATATTTTTAAATATATGATAATATTCACAAAATTAAATATTTTATAGAATGACATTGTAATCAAATCAAATTTCTGTATAAAAATTTTCAAAGACACTTATTTTATACGGAATATGATTATAATGACATTGTAATCAAATCGATTTTCTGAATAAAAATTTCAAAAGACACTTATTTTATATGGAATATGATGTAATTTATTATCAATTACATTCACCGTACGTGTTGTATACTAATTTAAATAGATATGTTTTATGCTATTTTGAACAATTTAAATGTCATATAACGTTTTCAACAAATTAATATAGGTAAATTGTATTAAATATTAATTCCATATTTTTTATTAATACCATGCACCGTACGTGTTGTATACTAATACTAAATAGATATGTTTTATGCAA